ATTTCCTTCTCTTCCCACTGCCATGTCATGAGCAGATTTCCTCCACCTCAGGGCCCACCATGCTACCACCCATACAAGGACTGAAACCTCTGTAAGCTGGGAGGCAAAACAAACTTCCTCTTTCAAGTTACAGATGTCAGGTTTTGTGACTCAGTGAGGAGGAAAGTGACCGAAACATATCTTGGTGCCTGAGAAGTAGGGATGCTACCTGACTGTGATTCAGAAGACTTTTAAAGTGGTTCATGGCAAGAAATTTGGAAATATTTGAAGATACTTGCTGAAGAAGCCATAGAAGGCTGTAACCTGCTGTTGGATAATTAATGGTCAGTGCTCAGAAATCCAAAATGCCAATTATAAGACAGATGGTACTATCATACAGAATGAAACAGAGTCTAATCAGTCAAAACAAGATTGTGGGAGTATTACAGGACTTCAAAACAAGTTAATATTTTTTGTAGTTCTGTATTACGTGTACCCTTACACCGCTTTGTTTTGTTTTGTGTTTTTCTCTTTTTCCTCTTAAATAAAAAAAAAAGACAGATGGTAAAAATCAGCCTCAGGAGGTTTTGGTTTGGAACATGTACTCCACTGGCATTAGGATTCAAGGTAAAGTGTGTTACATTCTGACTGAAAATTTGCCTGTATTTTGCTCATTTCCTTAGACTTTGCAGGATAATGAGATTAAGGGCACTGAACTGACTAATACGACAGGAAATTTCAAAGGATCTTAGTGTTGAAGCTGTGGCATTGCCACTGCTGGTGGGCATTTAGTTGGCACTCCATTGAGAATCAAGTGCAAGTGGCACAGCTGAATGAGTTTAACAGATGAGTTGTCTAAGAAAGGAAGCTGCAATAAAATTGGGGCTGCAAAGTTAGAGCAGAGGAGAGGTTTGCTGATGAAAAATTAGTATTAAAAAGAAGGCAAGTATTTGACACTGGGACAATATAAAGAGTGTCTTGAGTTTATCATGGATGCCTCCCCGTTGTCAGAATACAGAGTGTAAAAATGGAAGATTTGCTTTGAGAAGAGAGACCAAGGGCCCCTGCTGGAGAAAGGCCACGTAGTAAATAGGTTACCTGGGATTTTGTTGACAGTGCTGAGCCAACCAGCTACTGAGAGTCTCTCTTTTCTTTTTAAATTTTATTTAAAAGGGAAAAAAAGAAAAAAAACAAAACAAGACAAAACAGTGTAAGGGTACAAGTAATACAGGACTATAAAAAAACAATAAGAAATCAGTTAATAGATTACACATTGTCATCTTAGAAATAGTTGCTCAAGTCACAAGATCAAAGCATACAAAGTGGACATTCAAACAGTTGTGTTGAATGATCCAAAAAAACTCCGTAATATGGTCATCTATCCTAACACACCTAAACACCCTTGCAATCCTTTAGAGCACTTTTTTTCCTCTCTCTTTTTTTTTACAACATTTACACATTTTGGGTTTTATTACTCCCATAGTTCTTATTACTTTTTTTTGGAAGAAAATAAAACTAAATGTGACAAAACAAAGCTGTCAGTCAAAACTAAGGATCGACATAGTACATAATGTAAAAACAAGGTTATCAACAATGGTTACCATAATGCCACTTGCTTCCTTAAAAAGAATTGCCTATATCATTAGGTATAATAAAGTTGAACAAAACAGTACAGAACAAGACCAATAAAACCTAAACACTAGAGACATTATAGGACTTCAAAAGAAGATAATAGTCAAACCAGAATGGGCATCATAGTGAATCTTTTGCCTTCAAAGTAGTTGCCTATACCCTCAAACTTGATACTACCAGACAGAACGGAACAGAGTCTAATCAGTCAAAACAAGATAGTGGGAGCAATACAGGACTTCAAATCAAGTTAATAGGAAATCAAAAAAATTACTATCACATATCCTGCTAATTTTTTTTGATTTTTCCCTTTAATTAAAAAATAATAAAAAATATAAATAAATAAATAATTTTTTTAATGAATAAGGGGGAGATTGAGATAAAAGAGGACATAGCAACATAACAGTACAGGTCAAAGCATGACAATTTCAGCAACCTAGTGCTTCACCACCAAATAACCCGACTTAATAGTAGTTACCATAGTGTCTTTTTCCTTGAAGTATTTGAATATAACTTTGTATACTATAGCATCAGACATATCAAGACAGTGTGAAAGCATTCAAGTGGATGAAAGTATTACAGGTATTTAGAACCAGATAACAGAAAACAAACAATGGTTTCTATATTATATCTTTACATATAAAACATTTTGTTTATACTATCTCATATAATAAAATCCAGTAAGATACAACATGATAAAACCAATGGAGACAGAAGAGCAACAATTTGCTGGGGCTTCAAAATAAGATGATATTAAATCAGCACTAGCTATTATGATGTCTTGTTTTCTTCGAAATAGCTGTTTATTTCATCACAGGCAATAATATCAAGCAGCCCAGAATAAGGCCATTCCAATTAATGAGTGAAAGCTTTATAAGGCTGCAAGGCCACATAATGGGGAATCATGATTATCACATATTTTTATATATTTGAATCCTTTCTTACACTAGGGAAACTATTTGGTATTCACAGATGTGAGTTTGATTTATTTCACTTATGAGTATGGTCTCAAGCTGTGCCCATTTATTTATAAATATCTCAATGTGATCCTTCTTTATAGCTGAGTACTCCATTGTATAAAAATACCACAACTTTTTTTATCCATCCCTCAGTTGATGGACACTTGGGTTGTTTCCAAGATCTGGCGATTACAAATTGTGCTGCTATAAACATAGGTGCGCATATATCACTGTGGTATGATGCTTTCAGTTCTTCTGGGAATATGCCTAGAAGTGGAATAGCTGGAACAAATGGGACTTCCAATCCCAGCTTTTTGAGAAATCTCCAGAGTGACCTCCACAAAGGTTGCACCAGTCTACACTCCCACCAACAGTGTAGGAGAGTTCCTTTTCCCCCACAGCCTCTCCAGCATTTGTTGTTGTTGGTTTTCTTGATCCTGGCCATTCTTTCAGGAGTGAGATGGTATCTCAGTGTGGTTTTAATGTGCATTTCTCTAATGAGTAATGATGATGAACATTTTTTCATGTATTTATTTGCCATTTGTATTTATTCATCTGAGAATTGTACTTCTTCATCTGAGAATTGTGTATTCATCTCAGATGCCCATTTTTGGATTGGATCTTTGAATTTTGGGGGTCTGAGTTTTTTTAATTCTTTATATGTTTTAGACAAAAGTCCCTTGTCTGAGGGGGAGTTCACTAAGGTCTTTTCCCAGTTTGTGGATTTTCGTTTCACTATGCTGGAGACTTTTTTTGACATGCAGAAACTTTTTAATAAGAGTTGGTCCCAGGTATTGATTCTGGGAAGTATTTCTGTGCGGTTTGAGTCCTGTTCATGAATTCTCTACCTACCCCTATGTCTTCAAGGTTTCACCCAATTTGTCTTCCAATAGATTTAGTGTTTCTGTTTTAATATTCAGATCTTTGACCCATTTAGATTTTAATTTAGTACATGGTGATAGGCATGGGTCTAGTTTTAGTTTTCGGCATATGGAGAGCCAGTTTTTCCAAAACCACTTATTAAAAAGACTGTCGTTCTTCCAGTGAACCTGTTTGGCTCCTTTATCAAAGATAAGGTGGTTGAGTGTGTTTGTAGTTGTGGTTGTATCTTCTAATCTATTCCATTGATCTTCAGCTCTGTTTTGATTCCAGTACCATGTTGATTTTACTACGGTTGCTTTGTAGTATAACTTCAAGTCAGGGATTGTGATGCCTCCTGCCTTGCCTTTGTTGCTTAGAACTGTCTTTGCTATTTTAGGTGTCTTTTCACTCCAAATGAATTTTAGGAGTAATTTCTCTAAATCTGTGAGGTCTCTTGCAGCTATGGTACAAAAGCGCCCAACTATGGCACTAGAGGGTGGCTAAACATGGCATTATTTCTGTGGTACAGGGAATGCTGAACGTAACTACAGGGTCAGGAAGATTTCCACTCACATTTCAGAAGGAAGGAAGGCTTGTGGGGCTGGCAAGTGTGCCTTAGACAGGGCAGTATATGAAGCTGTGTGAGTGAACTTGAAAAGGCAGTGAAGATCACAGGAAGTTGGACAAGCCAGGAATGTAAGACATCTGAGGAATTCTGCAAGGCTTGAGCAAAGCCAGCCAAAAGGGGATGCCACGAGATCTGCTACCCCCAGAAGTGTCTTAGGGCAGGGCCACCCAAGCTCTTTGGTGCTAGTATCTGTATCTGACCACTTCTGGCCCGAGGTGCTAGAAATGGAGGTACAAGATTTAATGGTTGCCTTGCTGTGTTTCTGTCTTGCTTTTAGCTCTATTTGTTCCTCCCCCTCTACCGTTCCATTTTAGAGTGGGAATGTTTACCCTTTGGCATTCTATATCGGTTTGTTTCTTTTTGGTTTTTACATGGGGTCACAAGTAAGAGTTTAGAAGAGACACAGGACACAGACTTTTCAGTAATGCTAGAACTGTTAAGTTTTTGGCAACTCTTAGAGGTGGATACAAAGAGATTGACATGAGTCTTTTGGCGATTGGAATTGAATGTTATATTTTATATCTGGATGTCTCCTCTAAACTTCAGGTGTTCAGGGTGCATATCTTAGAAGGTGCGTGGGCTTTGGGGGACATTATAGCTGAATTGCTGTAATGAGGTAGGGTCTGAATCTACCTGAAGAGGCAGGTCACTGCATACCTGACCTGCTCTGTACATTTCCTTTCTGTCTCCTGGACCTTTCACTGTACTCCGGCCACTGGTGCATAAGCAGATTTCCTCCACATCTGGCACTTCCAGCCTGCTTCCAGCCATCTAAGGATAGAATCTCTGCAAACAGTGAGCCAAAATAAACCTCTCCTTGTTTATGGTGCAGACATCAGTTATTGTGTCTCAGGGACAAGGAAAGTGATTGCTGTTACAGCCTGCGATAGCCTGTCTTCTTAGCTATTTGTGCAACTAACTTAGTTTCAGCCAGCCTCCAGCAGTATTTTTCCTGGCTCTGTGCCTCTGTACATGTTTTATTGTTTCCATGACCTTTCTTTCTCATATTTATTTTGTTTTTCAAATTCTATGTTTCTATGAAACTGCTGAAAATCCTTTTATCCTTAAGAAGATTCTAAGCTTCATCCATAAGAAGAAAGCACACTGTCATTGCTGCTGTGAGATTCTTGACACATATTTAGCCCTACCCATCATTTACTTTACCTTGCAGTTCAGATTTCCCATCTGGGAAACAGGAGGGAAGAAGCTGCATTCACTGAGCCACCTGTCAGAGCCTAGCAACCAGCCTTGTCTGTGACCCTCAGTCCAGGGTGGCATCCAAACCCATTCACTCTCCACTGTGATTTTCCATACATTACAGAAAGTTCTCCTGGGAGGACTCTTGATCCTGGTGCCCTTGTGATGTTGTGCAGTGCCCAGTGCTATTCCACACCCAGGGCGGGAGGTCAAGACAGTTCCACTGCTGGTAAGTATTGGTTTTCAATATTGGCAGTGTGACTGCAGCCTGATAGAGAGGCCTCCCAGCAAGCAAAGGTCTTTTCATCTATAACAGAAGAGGGTGAAGGCAGAGACAGTGGTTGCAGTCAAGTCACGGTCCTCCAGTTGGCTGATTGTGACACAGTTACTCTCAATTCTGCCTGACTGAGAGGCGCTAAGAGAGCTTTTGAAATCTACCAAAGCTCAGGATCCATCTAAGGCAAAATGAATCAGAATCTCTGCTGTTAGAACAGCACATTCAGCAGCGTCTTGATTGATTCCCACTTGTGTTCTGGGTTGAGAACCATTGCTGAGTCCAAAGAGATATCAGATTTGATGATCCTGGCAATCAGAGGAAGATATGAATTGGAAGGTGCTGCTCAGAAGACTTGAAGGTGTGAGATTTACATAGCTGCAACAGCCAGGTGATTCTGAGGGCCTCAAGGATTTCAGTGGTGGCTTTCATTTGTGGTTGATACTAAGTTAAATTTTTGAATTTGCACTAGCCCACATGTAGGGATCCTGATTTCTGTGTTCTGTGGTGAGACATAGTATAGAGTTTTGCTTGTCTGTTTGACACTGTCTTTGTGTGTTTGTTTATTCCAGGGCTGAAAATAAAGCCCAGACATTTTATATGCTGAGTATGAGATCTTCCTCTGACCTGTACCCATTGTGCACCATTTTTGTAAGTCCCCAGTATATTCATCAGTGTATGCATAATTGAGAAACAAAATAGGAGGAAGAAAACTAAAAATGTACAGACAGAATGAGGTATTTCTTCAGATATCCTCTGCCAGGTGAATGTGTATTCACAATGCAATTAAAGAAGAAGGTCCTAGTTATTCATGAAATATCTGTTTTGAATTACAATACAGAAAGATTTGAGCTTGTTTTGAAAATGGTACCAGTTTCATGGACCTCCCAGTACTGAAATTCAGCTGAAGTTAACAAAAAGCACTGTCATATACACCTTCTAAGTTTTCTGTCATTTAAAGATGGAGCCAGGCCTCAGTGTCCTCATAGCCTTGTTCCTAATGTGTGACCTGGGGACGCGATTAGAGTACTGTGTTGCTTTTTGCAGGATTCAAGGATCTGGTTGGAACTCAGTGAAGGACTCAGTCCTATGAGAAGTGTTCTTGCAATGTAGATGAAACTCACTTCTGCAAGATGTGAATCTGCAGCTGTCTTTAAGAGCAGCTTTTTCTTCATTCAAAATCTTATGCTTTAGGTGATATTCTTTATTTTGTTGAGCAGGTTTAGATTCACAGTGAAACTGAGCAGAGATAGCACTCTCTCATTGGTTTTCTTCACCTGTGTGCACAGTATCCCAGACTGTGAACACTGCCTCAGAGCCTGTATTCACACTTGGTCACCACACAGACTCCACAGTCTACCTGAGGGTTCCTTTTGGCTGTGGTGGAGGGTTGATTAGTTTACAGTCTTGGGTCTTTCATTGATCAAGAACAGTTAGTACATACATACTGCTGTGAAACATCCTCAATAATTATCGCCACCATCCCTGCATCTTCTGCATCTTGTAGAACTTATCAACCATGACTCTCCTTGCCCTCTTCCCCATCCCCGACCACCCCCATTTTCCTTTCTGCATCTACAAGTGTAACTGCTCTGGGGACCTCATAGAGCTGCATGCATGAGATGTTTGATCTGATGAGACCATTTAGCTGGACTTAGCATGATGTCCTCAGGGTTTATCTGTGCTGTACAGTGGTGTCTGAATGTCTTCCTTCTTTGAGCTCCAGTAGACTGCTCTATCAGTTGACCACATTATGCTTATCCATTTATCTATGAGTGGGCATTTAGCTTGCTTCTCCTACAGTTTTATTTTCCTTTAGCCATTCATTGTCTTTTTTTCTTTCAGAAATACCTATAGGAACATAGGCTCCTGAGTACAGGCAGACATATTCAATAATCAGATGGTTATTTAGCATGTGGTTTGACAGTGACGATTGCTTTTGTTTTAGCTGTTTCCCAGACAGGAGTTTTGTCAACAGAGACAGAGAGAAAAGATGAGGGGTATCAGGGATATTCTGTAGTTTGTTATGTTCTTAACCCTGTTCACGGTTCACTTTAAACTCAGGTGCCCAAGTGTTCTACAGATGTTTCCTTCTGTGTCTGTGGATGCCCTCGGGTTGGTAGAGCACATATATATGTAGCTGCATCCAGATAACTCATATGACTCCCATCTGCAAAATCCATCTGATGTCCTCCTATCACTCACCCTGGCTTGTCATTCTGTATAGGGATATAAAATGTGTTTGTTTCATTTTGGTTTGCTTTTATGGAGTTGAGGATGAACTCAGAACTCATACTTGCTAGACGTTTGCTCTACCAACAAGCTAGAACTTGTTTCTCAAGAGGAGCATCTTTTCTAATAAAATTTTTGGTGTGAAGTAGCCTATTCCAGCCTTTCTTTTGATTTTGATTGTAAGCAAGAGCCTCAGAGAATTTTATGTCAACTTTAGGCAGCAAGTGATTATGTATCTTGAGGAGAATATCAGAGAGCGTTCTGGAAATTTCTGTCCACAGTGATTGAGAAACCTCATGGGATTCAGGAGGAGAATACCACAACCAGCCAGAGAGAGGTGTTTGGAGCAGCCTTTCATGCACTGCAGTGGCTGACCAGTGCCTGTTACAAGTGCTTCTTGGATTGTGGCTCTTCCAATTTGAACTCTTCTTTGCAGCAAGCAGCAGTAGACTCTGAAGTATGGTTGCTTTTTGACCATGGTCAGGGCTGGTAAGCAACTTCTCTTACAAGAAAGTGCCCTGAATAGTGGCTAACCTGTCCTCTACTGGTAAGTGCTGGGTCATCCTAACAAATCCATAAGATACTCCTTTATTGTTATGATTTGTGTCTGGATGTCCCTGAAAAGCCTCATACAGACATGAGAGGGGTGGGGTTTTCAGAGTCAACTGAATCTAGAATTTGTGATTGATTTATGGTCCAATGATGAGATTCAGGGTGTGATTGCTATACTTGCCATATTGTGTCCGTCTGTTTGTTGTCTCTTCTCTTCTTTTCTCTTCTCTTCTCTCCTCTCCTCTCCTCTCCTCTCCTCTCCTCTCCTCTCCTCTCCTCTCCTCTCCTCCTCTCTTCTTTTCCTCTTTTTCTCTTTCTCCCTCTCTTGTTTTTCTGTTTCCTACCACCATGAACTCTTGCCCCTCTGCTATGAGTCACGCTGCCTTGGAGCCAGCTGATATGGACTGAAATTTCAACAAACCTTGAGTTAAATAAAATTTTTCTCCCTTTGGGAATTGAGTATTTTGTCTCAGTAACAAGATAAAAGTAACTAAGACATCTCTTTCCTGGGACTCAGAGAAGTGAGCTGGGTCCTTTTGCAGTGAAGTTGGAGAAGCTTCAGTACTGGAGTTACAGTGACCTGAGTATGAATCTCCTATTCCTCCTGTCATATTGTGAGTCCCTGGGAGGGTTTTCAGTTTCTCTCAGCCTCATTGTTCTCACGGTAAACAGGATTATCAGGTAGATACGAGATGTGTGTGAGATACTGCAAGTTCACTCATCACCTACTATGGATACTTCTCTTGATCTGGTCTGTGAGCCCCAGCCTTGGACAGTAATTGGCACATGGTCAGGTGATCAGGTTCTCCTTGCTTCCCCTTTTCCATGAAGCCTTTCCAATTTTGATGCTACCTACTTGTCCCTACTGTGAGAACCTGCTACTGCTCCCCAGGAAAAGACTCAACTCCTACATCAGTTTTCTCTTAATCTTTCATTTTTATTTTGTGTATAGTTAACATAGTTAAAGTTTTTTTCAGTCTCTGGGAAAGTATTTGGACCCATGACACCACTGCAAGACCCTTCCTAGATGCCTAAGTGATCAGTGTCCTGAGTAGGGCAGGGAGATGTTCTGTCTTCTATGCTCAGGCCCAGCCTTCAGTACCCTACTGCCAGACTCTGGTGAGAGAGGCAAGGGCCACGGTCCTCCATCTTCAGCTCTTGGTGTTGAGCTTGTGGTGACTGTGACATCCCCTCTCATTCTTTTTCAGCTTTTCACCCTACCTTGCTAGGTCATGATGGAAGCACAGTTGCATTCAGTGAGGGACTCTGTGTTCTACAACTTGGTCCTGCACACAGATGGCAGAGTTGTGCATGTTCATTTCTGACTGAAAACATGTATATGTTTGTGTCTCATAATAATCATTACTTTGTTGCATAATTATTTTTCTATTTAAGTTAACACATGTTAACTATAATTTTCAATTTAAAAATTTGCAGGTTTAAAATTCACTAGCATTTGGCATGTCTATATTACTGTTTAAACATCACCTTTGTTTCTAATACTTTTTATAGAAAACTTTTATAGTGTTTTTGTGGTGCTTTTACTTGAAATCAGGTTTGCTCCATGCTGGCCTTGAATGTTTTCAGTTCTTCCTCAGCCTCCTGAGTTGCTGGGATTATAGGTCTCTATGATAAATCCATTATAAACAATTTATAATGACCCAAAATGAAAAAGTGAGTACTTTAAGCTATAATTAAGATACCCTTCCTGTTCCCTGAGAATCTTCTGCTCCACCATCTGTCTTGTAGATTTTCTTTCTTCTAGAGGCTTCAGGTCACGGGGGCCGCAACCGTACTTCTCCACTTCCCTGCTCTGCAGACTCATTTCTCTCTGGAGCTGCTGGTGGTTCAGCTCCATTGCTGCCTGTTACAGCTTCTTTCCTCCCCAACACAGCTGCAGGCCAGAATGGACCCAGTCCATACTTGGTTTCTTCAGTGCTATATGGAGGGACTTTGGGAGGGACTTTCGTTTTTAGTGAGTAACCCTGTGAGGAGCACAACTGTGTCTCTGTGTATTTTCCTTTCTTGGGGTTCCATACTAGTTATAGCATTAGGGGGCATTCTGGAAATGTGGTTTAACCTGGAGGATCCCTTGGAGCCTTTTTCCTATGGGACTTCAACATTTCGGTTTCTGCAAACAACCACTTTTGAATTTTAAAAGACTTAAGATG